AGTGGATGGGTGATTGGCTGGGAGGGAGGTTGGGTTTTGGGTGATTGAGTTGGTGAGTGGGTTGAGTGGGTAAGTGGGTTGGGTGGGTGGTTGGGTGGTTGGGTGAGTGAGTGGGTGGGTTGGTGGGTGGGTGGGTGGGTGGGAGGGAGGGAGGGAGGTTGGGTGGGAGGTTGGGTGAGTGAGTGAGTGAGTGAGTGAGTGACTGGGTGAGTGACTTCGAGCCAACCAGTCCTTGTTTTATCTCCTTGATGCCGAGTGCCATGCACAGTAACAACATTCACCTTTTACCATCTCCTGGCATGACACAGGCGGAGGTCGAACCACTTCTCCGCTCTGCGGGCAGACACTTCATCCACGACACCATGGAGACAGGGAGAGTACACAAGTAAGATATTAAACCTACTCTCAGTTTTTCAATAATATCACAGCTTTTTCAGTTTAATGAAGAGAAATGCTAAAAGTGTTAAAGGTCATAGATATCTATCATTTCTTAGAGACAGACCATTTTCACAACTTCAAAACCAGATTTTTTTATTCAAACTATCAGCCAAAAAAATAATATTTAAAAAATATCTCGCAAATATGTAATTTTTTTTGCGGCAGATAATATATTTTCTTTTCCAACAGCTTGAAGCAAAATTATAATTTTAAAGAATTTTCTTTCGATTGAATTTTATTCATAAAATTCCAGTATGTGCTGATGACCAAAAATCATAATTAGGAACCTCATATTTGAACCAAATATCCTGGATCCTGGCCTACACAAGCGACAGACTCGACAGAAATATCCTGGATCCTGGCATACACAAGTGACAGACTCGACAGAAATATCCTGGATCCTGGCCTACACAAGTGACAGACTCGACAGAAATATCCTGGATCCTGGCCTACACAAGCGACAGACTCGACAGAAATATCCTGGATCCTGGCATACACAAGCGACAGACTCGACAGAAATATCCTGGATCCTGGCATACACAAGCGACAGACTCGACAGAAATATCCTGGATCCTTGCATACACAAGCGACAGACTCGACAGAAATATCCTGGATCCTGGCATACACAAGCGACAGACTCGACAGAAATATCCTGGATCCTGGCAGACACAAGCGACAGACTCGACAGAAATATCCTGGATCCTGGCAGACACAAGCGACAGACTCGACAGAAATATCCTGGATCCTGGCAGACACAAGCGACAGACTCGACAGAAATATCCTGGATCCTTGCATACACAAGCGACAGACTCGACAGAAATATCCTGGATCCTGGCATACACAAGTGACAGACTCAAATTCAAGACCAGCTGATCCTGACACAAGTAGGGGACACAACTCTTTCTGTCTAAATCATGGCGTCACCAATGCCCCATATGTGTATTTAGAGTTCATACACAAACGACAGACTCTTCACACCAAATCGTGGAACCCTATAAACAAGGCTTATAAGCAAGACAAATCTGACATTTGTGTGTGTGTGCGTGTGTGTGTGTGCATGTCTGTGTGCGTGCGTGTGCTTGTCTGTGTGTGTGTATGTGCGTGTGTGTGTGTGTGCGTGCGTGTGCGTGCCTGTGTGTGCGTGCGTGTGCGTGCCTGTGTGTGAGTGCGTGTGTGTGTGTGTGTGTGAGTGCGTGTGTGTGTCTGTGCGTGTGTGCGTGCGTGCGTGTGCGCGTGTGTGTGTGTGCGTGTCTGTGTGCGTGTGTGTGTGTGTGTGTGTGTGTGTGTGTGTGTGTGTGTTTGCGCGTAGCAGGGCTTGGAGTCATCCCACAGATGACATCCTTACCTTGTCAGCTTGCTGACGGGGTTAACCTCTTTGGTCATGTGGGCAAGGCGTCCGACCTCAGATCAGAAGGTTCATGGATCGAATCCCATCACGGGACTCGGAAATTTTATGGCCGCTACATGTGCGTGCGTGCGTGTGGCTGCTTGTACTAGAGCTCCCCATAACACAGAGGTGAATGTCTCATTCAAGACTACACTCATGCATGTGCGTGTGTGCGCGCGAGTGTGTGTGTGTGCGTGTGTGTGTGGCTGCTTGTACTAGTCCTTTTCCTGACTGATGCCGATTTTATAGTGCCAGCCCACGAAGATACCATACCGCTGTTTAACATGAAAACTTCGGGCCTACCAGATCCTTGTTTTTGCCCCTTAATGCCGAACACCAGGCAGGGTAACAAAAAGTACGATCTTTTAAAATCTTTTAGTAAGGCGCGGTCAGGGATCAAACCTCCAACATTCCCCTCTCCTGGCGGACGCTCTATTTGTTGGTTTCATGTTGTTTAACGCCACACTCAGCAATATTCCAGCTCTATGGCGGCGGTTTGTAAATAATTGAGTCTGGACCAGACAATCCAGTGATTGACATCATGAGCATTGTACCATGCAATTGGGATACGATGACATGCATCAACCAAGTCAGCAAGCCTGACCACCCGATCGCGTTAGTTTCCCTGTTGGCTATGAATAGCATAACATTCACAGCGCCCTCTAGCCTATCTGTTTCTGCCCAACAATATTCTAGCTTCGACCTCCAGAAAAAAAAAAAAAATGATTAATGTTTTATCTTGGGAATATGTTAGCAATATCACATCTTGACATACAACATCGGGAAAATGACAGCCCTATTATCGCATTTGTCATCTCATCCATAATTCTAATTTATTACCAAAGACGAAATTTAATCAATTATTAATCCTAACTCTTCTTCCGTGAGGTTGTTCTAGTTCTTGATAAAGGTTAATAAAATAATAAAGGCTACATGTGTTGTTTATTTGCTGTTTAACGCCTCACTCAACAATAGCTGGTAAATAATAAATAAACTGAAATATTGTAAAACGTCAACTTTTTGTGACAGCGGACCTGAGTGAGTGTGTGAGTGAGTGAGTGAGTGGGTGAGTGAGTGAGTGAGTGAGTGAGTGAGTGAGTGAGTGAGTGAGTGAGTGAGTGAGTGAGTGAGTGAGTGAGTGAGTGAGTGGGTGGGTGGGTGGGTTGGTGGGTCTTGGAGGGAGGTTGGGTTTTTGGTGAGTGAGTGAGTGAGTGGGGTGGGTGAGTGCGTCGGTGAGTGAGTGAGTGAGTGAGTGGGTGGGTGAGTGGGTGGGTTTGGGATGTTGGGTTTTGGGTGAGTGAGTGAGTGAGTGAGTGAGTGAGTGAGTGAGTGAGTGAGTGAGTGAGTCTCTTGACACTCATCAGAACGAACTGCTCGAACAGATACCCTACTTAGCAGTGAGGGCATTGATTGATGCTGGGAAGATGCTGTGAGGGCTTGGTTCCTCGCCACGCCCATCTGTCATCTGATGCATTGTACCACTTGTTCATCAACCAAGTCAGTCGGATGTTGGGTTTTGGGTGAGTGAGTGAGTGAGTGAGTGAGTGAGTGAGTGAGTTAAGACGGGTGAGTGAGTGAGTAAGTGAGTGAGTGAGTGAGTGAGTGAGTGAGTGAGTGAGTGAGTTAAGACATCTAAAAGTATAACTTAGGATATAGAGAATTAAAATTATGAGTTTGTCACCATAATTTACTGCATGCACAATATTGCTCAACCACAGATAAAATAGGATATTGTTTCCAACCAATCCACATTTTACACCCAAATATCAGCTCCCACTTGGATAATAATATGTCTATTTAAAACCAATATATACCCACTGTTGACCTACCTGATATAAGGCAAGTCATTTTGTCCAGTCAGTCCACATTTTATACAACAATATCAGCTCCCACTTGGACAATATTGTGTATATTCCACACCAACATATACACAGTGTTGACCTACCTGATGTAAGTCATTTTGTCCACACAATCCACATTTTAACCTCACTATCAGCTACCACTTGGATGATAAAATGAATATTCATCGCCAACATATACACAATATTGACCCACTGATGTAAGTCATTTTGTCCACACAATCCACATTGTACACCTCAATATCAGCTCCCACTTGGGCTGTGATGTGTATATTCACCACTAACATACCAATAATGACCCACCTGATGTAAGTCATTTTGTCCACACAATCCACATTTTACACCTCAATATCAGCTCCCACTTGGGCTGTGATGTGTATATTCACCACCAACATATACCAATATTGACCCACCTGATGGAAGCCATTTTGTTCACACAATCCACATTGTACACCTCAATATCAGCTCCCACTTGGGCTGTGATGTGTATAATCACCACCAACATATACCAATATTGACCAATCTGATATATGATAAGTCATTTTGTCCACCCAATACACATTTTAAACCCCAATATCAGCCGCCACTTGGATGATAAAATGTATATTCACCGCCAACATATACACAATATTGACCTACTGATTGAAGTCATTTTGTTCACGCAATCCACATTTTACATCCCAATATCAGCTCCCACTTGGACAATATAAAATATATATTCACAACCAACATTTACACAATTTTGACCTACTGATTGAAGTCATTTTGTCCACGCAATCCACATTTTACACCTCAATATCAGCTCCCACTTGGATACTAAAATGAATATTCACTGCAAACATATACACAGTGTTGACCCACCTGATGTAAGTCATTTTGTCCACACAATCCACATTTTACACCTCAATATTAGTTCCCACTTGGGCTGTGATGTGTATATTCAAAACCAACATATACCTAATGTTGACCTACCTAATATAAGGCAAGTATTTTGTCCAACCAATCCACATTTTACATCCCAATATTAGCTCCCACTTGGATAATAAAATGTATATTTAAACCAACATATACCAATAATGACCTACCTGATATGAGGCAAGTGATTTTGTCCACACAATCCACATTTTACATCTCAATATCAGCTCCCACTTGGGCTGTGATGTGTATATTTAAAACCAACATATACCCAATGTTGACCTACCTAATATAAGGCAAGTATTTTGTCCAACCAATCCACATTTTACATCCCAATATCAGCTCCCACATGGAAAATAAAATGTATATTCACCACCAACATTTACACAATATTGACCTACCTGATATAAGTCATCTTGGAATAATCAAAGTCGTCCTTGTGGTCATCCTTGTCTTTGTCCTTTCGGAAACTCCCCTTTCTCCGGAACGAGAAGCGCGTGACCGATATCCTCTCCATGTCTCCACGAGATACAGACAAACTCACAGACAATTTGGGAAACTCCACTGACAGAGAAGCCTTTCACGTCTTCCCGCAGGTTAAGATTCAAGTCAGATCTCCTGGTTCTGAGAATCGTTTGTTTAATTCTGAATCTCACCAAATTCTCCGGGTTCTCAGTGCGAGGTGGAATCCTTTCAACACAGATAACCTGCTTTTAAACTGCTGGCTCCCGAAACGATGAGGGACAGGATTTAAATGTTAAAGGTAGTCGCAGGATCTTCAGATTTAAAAATTCTGATCAAAGCTATTTTAAAACCAAATAAATTCCTCAATGGTGAAAAATACTTGGCACTGGAATTCTTCAAATAACTTCAAACACCTTACTTGGAAAAATTCCAAAATTTAACTGTTTGATTCTCAGAAATCAAATATGTAAATTGTACAAGACATGCAGTATCATTTGTTTGTGGGAAATGGTAATCTTCGAGAAAGTCTTACCAACAGGAATATCAACTAACTGACAGCTTGATTAAGAAAAATGTAAACTGTCGAAAAGGATAAAAAATGATTATTGACGATTTTGCTCAGTGCTCTTTTGGCTTAAAAACAACTTGTAACACTTGAGATTAGTAAAAACAGGAAAATGCGGATGTTTCTAATGATGCTCGTGTAAATGAGAACATAAGGATTACGCTTGTTAGCAACACTCTTCACTGCACCGCAATGTCTGGAACGGTCGGCGCCAAAAGACAATAAACCTCAACAAGCACAGTTCTCCTTGTTTCAAGGAATGGTTTATTCTTGGAGGGGTCCAAGTTGTTCCCAAAGTCAGGTTCTTTGTTGGGAGATCATTTTGATATATTCGAGGTCTGTGGAGAAAGAGTGGCATGTGACACGAATCTAGAGGTGAAGATATTGTTGGCACAGAAGGAAATCAGCGATGACGTATATGTGTCGTGAAGCCTTTCTCGTCTAGATTATAAACCTCAGTCAGTCATCAGTGTGCCACAGAAACAGGCAGACTGTTCTGTGACACTGTCCACTGGTTTCAGGATTACAAGACAGCACTGGGCTTGTTATCATCTCAATTTACTCTTGATAAGGAGGGCTGCTGGGGTGGGGGATGGGGGATAGGGGATGGGGGAATGATTTGTTTCTTCAAATGGTTTTATGAAAAGTGAGTGAGTATGGTTTTACGCCACTTTTAGTAAATATCCCAGCAATATCAGGGTGGGGAACACCATTTACTTTACTTTACTTATTTTATTTTATTTTTACTTACTTAGTTACTTATCATTTTATCATTTCATTTCATTTATTATATTTTATTATATTTTATCATCTTCATCCTCATCATCATCTTCATTGTCATTATGAATTTAACATCATGAATATTATCATCTCCATCGCCATCATCATCATCATCATCACCACCACCATCATTGTCATAATGAATATTATCCTAATCACCATTATACAAGAAAAAATCAAACCAAGAAAAACACCCAAAAAATCAACGCAAATATTTGTATCCCTCTATAAACAAAAATGGCAAGTGATTCCAAGGCATTTGACAGGCTAACCAAGCAAGTTTCATTCCGTTTATGTTTCCACAAACCTACAAAAATTAGGCCACGCCCAATAGCAAGCAAAGGTTCCCAGATTGGCGGATGTTAGACATTGGATTTGTGTATCATTATTGTTATCATTATTGTTATCATTATTGTTATCATTATTGTTATCATTGTTATCATTATCATTATTGTTATTGTTATCGTTATTGTTATCGTTATTGTTATCGTTATCATTATTGTTATCATTATTGTTATCATTATTGTTATCGTTATTGTTATCGTTATCATTATTGTTATCATTATTGTTATCGTTATTGTTATCGTTATTGTTATCGTTATCATTATTGTTATCATTATTGTTATCGTTATTGTTATCGTTATTGTTATCATTATCATTATTGTTATCATTATTGTTATCGTTATTGTTATCGTTATCATTATTGTTATCATTATTGTTATCGTTATTGTTATCATTATCATTATTGTTATCATTATTGTTATCGTTATTGTTATCGTTATTGTTATCATTATCATTATTGTTATCATTATTGTTATCGTTATTGTTATCGTTATCATTATTGTTATCATTGTTATCATTATCATTATTGTTATCATTATTGTTATCGTTATTGTTATCGTTATTGTTATCGTTATCATTATTGTTATCATTATTGTTATCGTTATTGTTATCATTATTGTTATCGTTATTGTTATCATTATCATTATTGTTATCATTATTGTTATCATTATTGTTATCATTGTTATCATTGTTATCATTATCATTATTGTTATCATTATTGTTATCATTATTGTTATCATTATTCATTATTGTTATCATTATTGTTATCATTATTGTTATCGTTATTGTTATCATTATTCATTATTGTTATCATTATTGTTATCATTATTGTTATCATTATTGTTATCGTTATCATTATTGTTATCATTATTGTTATCATTATTGTTATCATTGTTATCATTATCATTATTGTTATCATTATTGTTATCATTATTGTTATCATTATTCATTATTGTTATCATTATTGTTATCATTATTGTTATCATTGTTATCATTATCATTATTGTTATCATTATTGTTATCATTATTGTTATCATTATTGTTATTGTTATCATTATTGTTATCATTATTGTTATCATTATTGTTATCATTATCATTATTGTTATCATTATTGTTATCATTATTGTTATCATTATCATTATTGTTATCATTATCGTTATCATTATTGTTATCATTATTGTTATCATTATTCATTATTGTTATCATTATTGTTATCATTATTGTTATCATTATTGTTATTGTTATCATTATCATTATTGTTATCATTATTGTTATCATTATTGTTATCATTATTGTTATTGTTATCATTATTCATTATTGTTATCATTATTGTTATCATTATTGTTATTGTTATCATTATTCATTATTGTTATCATTATTGTTATCATTATTGTTATCATTATTCATTATTGTTATCGTTATTGTTATCATTATTGTTATCATTATTGTTATTGTTATCATTATTGTTATCATTATTGTTATCATTGTTATCATTATCATTATTGTTATCATTATTGTTATCATTATTGTTATCATTATCGTTATTGTTATCGTTATTGTTATCGTTATCATTATTGTTATCATTATTGTTATCATTGTTATCATTATCATTATTGTTATCATTATTGTTATCATTATTGTTATCATTATTGTTATCATTATTGTTATTGTTATCATTATTGTTATCATTATTGTTATCATTATTGTTATCATTATCATTATTGTTATCATTATTGTTATCATTATTGTTATCATTATCATTATTGTTATCATTATCGTTATCATTATTGTTATCATTATTGTTATCATTATTCATTATTGTTATCATTATTGTTATCATTATTGTTATCATTGTTGTTATTGTTATCATTATTGTTATTGTTATCATTATTCATTATTGTTATCATTATTGTTATCATTATTGTTATTGTTATCATTATTCATTATTGTTATCATTATTGTTATCATTATTGTTATCATTATTCATTATTGTTATCATTATTGTTATCATTATTGTTATCATTATTGTTATCATTGTTATCATTATCATTATTGTTATCATTATTGTTATCATTATTGTTATCGTTATTGTTATCGTTATCATTATTGTTATCATTATTGTTATCATTATTGTTATCGTAATTGTTATCGTTATTGTTATCGTTATCATTATTGTTATCATTATTGTTATCATTATTGTTATCATTATTGTTATTGTTATCCTTATTCATTATTGTTATCATTATTGTTATCATTATTGTTATCATTATTCATTATTGTTATCATTATTGTTATCATTATTGTTATCATTGTTATCATTATCATTATTGTTATCATTATTGTTATCGTTATTGTTATCGTTATTGTTATCATTATTGTTATCATTATTGTTATTGTTATCATTATTGTTATCATTATTGTTATCATTGTTATCATTATCATTATTGTTATCATTATTGTTATCATTATTGTTATCATTATCGTTATTGTTATCGTTATTGTTATCGTTATCATTATTGTTATCATTATTGTTATCATTGTTATCATTATCATTATTGTTATCATTATTGTTATCATTATTGTTATCATTATTGTTATCATTATTGTTATTGTTATCATTATTCATTATTGTTATCATTATTGTTATCATTATTGTTATCATTGTTATCATTATCATTATTGTTATCATTATTGTTATCATTATTGTTATCATTATCGTTATTGTTATCGTTATTGTTATCGTTATCATTATTGTTATCATTATTGTTATCATTATTGTTATCATTATCATTATTGTTATCATTATTGTTATCATTATCGTTATCATTATTGTTATCATTATTGTTATCATTATTCATTATTGTTATCATTATTGTTATCATTATTGTTATCATTATTGTTATCGTTATTGTTATCGTTATTGTTATCGTTATCATTATTGTTATCATTATTGTTATCATTATTGTTATCATTATTGTTATTGTTATCATTATTCATTATTGTTATCATTATTGTTATCATTATTGTTATCATTATTCATTATTGTTATCATTATTGTTATCATTATTGTTATCATTATTGTTATCATTGTTATCATTATCATTATTGTTATCATTATTGTTATCATTATTGTTATCGTTATTGTTATCGTTATCATTATTGTTATCATTATTGTTATCATTATTGTTATCATTATTGTTATCATTATCGTTATTGTTATCGTTATCATTATTGTTATCATTATTGTTATCATTGTTATCATTATCATTATTGTTATCATTATTGTTATCATTATTGTTATCATTATTGTTATCATTATTGTTATTGTTATCGTTATTCATTATTGTTATCATTATTGTTATCATTATTGTTATCATTATTGTTATCATTGTTATCATTATCATTATTGTTATCATTATTGTTATCATTATTGTTATCATTATCGTTATTGTTATCGTTATTGTTATCATTATTGTTATCATTATCATTATCGTTATTGTTATTGTTATTGTTATCGTTATCATTATTGTTATCATTATTGTTATCATTATTGTTATCATTATTGTTATTGTTATCATTATTGTTATCATTATTGTTATCATTATTGTTATCATTATCATTATCGTTATTGTTATCATTATTGTTATCATTATCATTATTGTTATCATTATTGTTATCATTATTGTTATCATTATCATTATTGTTATCATTATTGTTATCATTATTGTTATCATTATCGTTATCATTATTGTTATCATTATTGTTATCATTATTGTTATCATTATTCATTATTGTTATCATTATTGTTATCATTATTGTTATCATTATTGTTATCGTTATTGTTATCGTTATTGTTATCGTTATCATTATTGTTATCATTATTGTTATCATTATTGTTATCATTATTGTTATTGTTATCATTATTCATTATTGTTATCATTATTGTTATCATTATTGTTATCATTATTCATTATTGTTATCATTATTGTTATCATTATTGTTATCATTATTGTTATCATTGTTATCATTATCATTATTGTTATCATTATTGTTATCATTATTGTTATCGTTATTGTTATCGTTATCATTATTGTTATCATTATTGTTATCATTATTGTTATCATTATCATTATTGTTATCATTATTGTTATCATTATTGTTATCATTATCGTTATCATTATTGTTATCATTATTGTTATCATTATTCATTATTGTT